AAACCCGCTGCCTGATTATTATTTTGAGAGTCAGAAATTCCTCTGAGCTGGAAAAGCACCATATAAAGATATGTACTGTATATAATATACACTGTGGCAGTGTCTAATTGTCAAGTCCAATTATGTTTCTCCTTTTGGGTGAAAAAAAATACACGAATTGTATCTTGTTTTGGTGGTGAAGCAATAACCGTTTAGGTAACATTAAACAGTAAACATGAACTCTTCATTTCAATCTGCATGCATCAGTTTACTAAAGTAAAACACAACCATAAGCTGGAAAGCACCAGCATTCTTTCTGAGTGGAAATTCAATACCTGTGAAGCACAAAATAGTTGACAGTAGCATGAACAACAGCAACACACTGTCATGGAGGTGTGCTTAAATTAGTCACATGATTACAGCAGAAGCAGAGATCAGACATTTAAACTTTCATGAACAGCAGTCCATGATTTCCTACGATTTCTGACAGGCGGTTCAGTCCAAAATGAGATGGTGGCCTTTCACTAATATGATCAAAACAAATTAAATAATTTGTTCTGCCTGAATGAATATACAGTATTTCTCAGTTAAGAAATGACTGTGCATAAATTAGGCTCATTATTATTTATTATTTTAAAAACCATGAAGTTTTGGACTCCACCACAGTTTCTCTATGCTCATACATTTCTGCTCAGAGCATCTAGTCTTCACCTCTGATATGGGTTATAAATGCAAACCAAACAACACAAAACAAACCCTAAACTAAAAATAATTTTGGAAAGCAGAGTTCAGACAATGTTCAGTCAATTACTCTAGGTCACAGAGGGAAGCCATCATCATTTCTGCTTGTTAACCAGCTTCTACATGGGAAACAGATGCTTCAGTAGTGAAGGATCATCTTTTTAAACGTGTGTATTTTAGCTATAACAAGTATGAGTGAAGAGATGGATATGCTGAACAACTTCAAAAGACACACAAATTAGGACTACCGGTAATCCAAACTCACAAGGCTGTTTGCAGCGGAGGAGCAGTTTTTCAACTCCAACCATTTAATTAAAAAACTGTGCAAGACCATATATGTGTCATCATACTGTGCACAGTATTTTTTTAATGAAACAATAAGAAAATGGTAGACGTAAATGTCAGACAGCATCTGTCATTGAAAAATAAAATACTCAAAACCTGAATAAATGTATAGCAAGATGTTTCTTTTCTGTCTCGAGCCTGTTGGTACAAGCAATAGGCGTTGTATAATTAAGACAACTTGAACGACGTGTAACCGCGTGACCTGTGAGCCACAAGCGAAACGAAACCCACTTAACGCACAATACAGACATGACAGGTCAAGATTCACTAGCAACACTCAGACATATATAACATCTGTTTAACACATCCTGTAGACAATAAGGGTGAGGAGATCGCTTAAAGGTCACACTGACCAGGATCAAGATGTAGCCAAAGAACACAGTGACGAGTAGCTAATCAGCCACTCGGTGATGTGTAGTTCTGAGGTAAAAATCCTTCTCTGTGTGCATGAGCATTAACACAGTTTAAAGACACCAATATCCCCCTTCACAACATTTGACAATGAGGAGGTTTTTTTTGTTTTTGATTAGGGTTTTTTTTGTTGTTGTTGTTGTTCTTTTACGATGCTTTGGCCGACAGACCAACCCCGACTAGCCGGTCTCCTTCCTTGTTGGATTCGACCCAGATGAGCCACAGGCCGGCCTTGTTTTTGCCGAAAAACACCTCACCACCATTAGCAGCTACAGCGTCAGGACATCCAAAACACTGACAGGTGGAAAGACATTATACATATAAAGAGTTTCTTGTCGTCTCAAAAACTTACTTTCAGCTCGTAACACACGGTAGAGGAGACTTGCTGACCGTATCGAAGCCGGCTGCGAGAAAACTAGCCGTTGTTGTGCAGCGTAGCTAGCGTCAGTTGCTAACTAGGCGTTACGTTAGCTAGCGTTGATTTGGCAATGTCCCGTTTGAGATTCTCAGAAAAGTTTCTGACGTCGACACCAACAAAAACCGTGTCGTAAATTCACGAGGTAATTTATCTACAAATAGTGTTTAAATTTGGCACTTGCCTTAAGGCTTGCCTGCCTACAAGCCACCCAACCAGCTAACTACCTAGTTCTCCCTTGTCTTCTTTCACTTCCGCCTCCCAAACAACGCTTGTGCCCTACGTCAGACGTAAACAGCCAATAACAACCCCTTCTGAAATATTAATTAAGGCCCGTATAACTTCTCTATCCTCGACTTTCACAGCCCATTAAATGCCACAGCTCGCGTCTTTTCAGGGAAAATATTAATATTAGTACTGATTCTCAACCCTGTTGGCATTCATATAAAACAAACATGACAGACACGTATTAAAAACATTAAAATAATATTAAACTCAATTGTCCTAATTTTACCCATTTTATTTTATGGATTTCTTAGCTTACAACGTTTTAAACTACTGCCTTTTAACAGTTTGAATTATTGTTTGTGTATTTGTGTATGTGTCTATGGTGTATTTGGGCAAATGTTTGAAAACAAAAAACTGAAATCAGTGAAACAATAAAGTATGTGACTATGAAAAGTGAAAATTTGGGCAAGGTTGATTTAGAAACTTGCCTAAACTCCTACTAAGTGTAAGCATAAACTGAATTAGTATTCAGTATGAGTGTGACTAGCTTTAACTTAGTGGTCAAGAAATTAATATTTTGTTCAATAAAGTTTTCAAGTTTTAGAGTATTGGTATTAGGGTTGCACCAAACATAATACACAACAACTAAAATATTATAAAATACTGTAAAACATTTAAAAATTTTTAAGTGTAGATTGTTTTCGAATTGCAGAATTACCCAGGCTTTGAGCACAAATGATAACCTGCTGATGTTATGTATTGATAGATTACAGTAAACACTGGGATTAAACAGGCAAGTTGCCAAGCTTTCAGTTAAAAATTAACTCCCACACTGAGACAGATCTGACCACATCATCACCCTGACTCGCATGATTTTTATCAGGTGTGTGCTTATTGTCCTGGTTGCGTTTTTTTTACAAGACCTGACTTTGCACTAGATAGGTCCCACTGGATGACATAACAGATAACTGGGCTAAACCTGACAAGTCTGTAGCCTGGATATATAATAGAAAGCCATGTTGGAGCTTTGTAGTCATTCTGATGCCCCTTAATGCAGACTCAAGTAATTACAGTTCCCTAAATTGATAATAAATTGGCTTCAGAGCTGCTGTTCCACTTTATTCAAAAACACAACCAATATTTTAAATCTTCTAACATAATGAGTGAGATGATGAGCTGCATATTCCAAGTAATTCTACATAACCTTTACAAAACATTCAGTGAACATGAGCTTGGTATTTTAAAAGCAATTTTTTTTTTCAGTGGGAAACACCATTCTGGAGAGGCACCTTGAACTGATCTTAACTAATCTAACTCTCAAAACCTCCAACTACCATTTTTTTTCATTGTATAATTAAGATGATATTATCCTAAGAACCAGCCTATTTATTTATGTGATGGACATTTGTTTTTGGGTTATATCTTTTGACTTATTTGAGCAACCCTACTAAGTCCTGGTGTACTAAACAGAGGACATCCTGGTCTTTCCAATGATATCTCATGTATTTGGGTGGCCTCTTTTAGCACCAAAGAGGAAGTAAATCCCAAAATAAGTTCAATAGGAAGATTCTCTTATCCTTGGTTCTCAGGAGGATATGTTAGAGTTGTCATTTTAATTATAGTGCATTATTACACTCCACCAGTGAGTCATCTAAGATAATGGTTGGATGGATGGAGTGAGTAGTCCACCACTAGAGGGCAGTGGAAATTCATTTTGAACAGAAAACCAAGCGAACTAATGAACTCAGACCTTTTTCAAATGTATGCTGTCACTCTGTGTAAAACAATAAATTTAACATTAATATTTTTCCTTTTACTTCTCATTGGCTGTTAGTGTTATATACTATATTGTCAATTTTACTTACATGAATTATATCTTACAGAAGTGTAGTCATGAAAAAGAAAGTCTTCACGGGACTCTATTAAGTTTTTTGAAAAACAAAGTACACCCTTACTACTTCCACGGGAATTAAGTAGCAGCAGGATCTGCTAATCACGTACACTTGATTAATTGATTATCAGCCCCTCTATGAAAGCAGAGGTGTTTGTAGTTTGCCTTGTTTGGAGTATTCAGATGAGTCTTAACAAAATACCACAGTCTTCCCAAAAGTGGACATCCCAGAAAATTCACGCTAATGTTGACACATATTTAAAAAATGAAAGAAAAGCTAAAGAAAAAAACAACAAAACAAAACATGAAGCACACCTCAGGCTCTACAGGCCTCGAATGGCATGTCAAATGCTAAAGTTCATGGAGCAACACAGTAAAAAGAAAGGTGGGCCTAAATTCCTCCAGATTGATATGAGATACTAGTAAAGTCATACAGAAAATGTCTTTAAAAATGGTTTCACATTAATATATCATCTCTCCATACTAAATGTCGTATGGGCATTTGTTCTCCTCATTACTGGAAGCGTGCCTCTGTAGAATCTTGATGACTGGGATGACTCTGGTGTTTATAGAGAAATTCCTCCCTTCTTACACCTATTGAATCTGGAGTCTTTATGGCCTCTTTGTAAATACAAACACTGCAACACAAAAGCGTGTGAGCTAGAAAACGGTTCATGGGTGGGAAGGCGCCACATACTTGGAGCATCTGCTGGATTTTCATCCTTGCAAACATTGTCGGATTTGCACCTTGATGATGGCAAAATGTAAGAGCTGCTCAAGGTGGGACACATCGTTTATATCATTAGGACAGACATATCGGCAAGGCGTAGAGTCTATTAAATCATGAGAGACAGCCATCAAAGTGCTTGTGTATTAGAGATATAACGGCACTTTCATTCACATTCTTAGTGCGTGGACGTGTAAACATGCATCTCTGTGTGTGGCTGTGTGGGAGGGGAGGAGAGGCAATGAGATGAGTTAAGGAGATGAACAGATTGTGTGTGTGTGTGTATGTGTATTAGGGGGTGGGTGCATTAGTCCGTGTCAGACAGCAAAGAGTGCCGCATTTATCTAGGAATCTGAGCCAAAGCAACCTCACTAGCAGGAGCACGAGAAAGGGGACAACAAGTGAGATGATCTGAGAAGAAAGAAAGAAGATGAAAGAAACCCAGAGAAGAAAACACAAAATGGACAAGGACATGACTATGAAGATCTAATTTTCCCTCTTAAAAAAAGGACAAAGTCAGCAAAGTCTATTTGCCTGAAGAGGCACTGCTTGATGAGCTGAAAGAAAGTGAAGAGAAAGTTTGCAGGGAATCGTCAACACAAAGCAACTACTTGGAGGAAAAACGCTGGACCACGGTTTAAGAGGTTTAAAACATTTTCCCATGTTTCCTTTCAGTTCCTTTAAGTTTAGCATGCTTCCTCTCCTCTATGTGGGAGTGCTGCTATCCTCAGTTGCCTCTCCAGCCTGTATAAATCCTCCCTGCAAAGAGAATCTAGTGGCCTCACCCATCCAGCTTGGGACTGGAGTTGGAGCAGGTACCGGGGCTTGTGAGGGTCAAACTGGGACAACTGCCTGCAGGACAGGGGTTTCACTTGCAGCAATCTCGGACGTCCCTCGGAAAGTGGAGCACAAACATGAATTACCCCAGTTTCAGTACAAGGTAACTGACATTTTATACAGTACTTTTCATTGTGTGTGTGTGTGTGTGTGTGTGTGTGTGTGTGTGTGTGTGTGTGTGTGTGTGTGTGTTTTTCACAGTTCCCAGCTTAAAAATCATAAAATCTCAGAGGGGCCAGAAACAACTCTTAAACAGTCAATTAACTCCAGCAGCCTGGGAGACCTTAAAGTTTACCTTTTTACTCATCGTGTTGTAGTGAGATTGAGCAGCATACTACCAAACTCATGCCAGCAGGTTCTTTCTCATGGAATGCTAGACTTGGCACCACCTACCAGCCAGGGAACAATAACCGTCAGCAATCAAAGAAGGGACAAAATTAGGTTTGCTTTAAAAATATCCTCATCATATGGCTGTGCTGAGCTCATGCAGGAACAGGTGTGTTAGGGACATGATTAACATGGGTGATGTAAGTGTAAGAGACACACTGTGACACAAAACTGAGCTGTCGGTTATGTGTGAGGATGTGTGGATGATATTTATGCACATGCACAGCTTTATTTTTAGACTTTTTATGCATGACTGAATAACACTAAGGAGTGCTGAATCATTTCTGACTTTCACAAAATTATTTAGATATATCTGTGTCACTGTCTAGCAGACTGGGGTTGTCAGAGAGCGCCTGGTTCAGCTGCAGCGCTGCATGCGCTCTGTCCAGGATACTGGGGGACCTTGGAGTCACGAGGGCCAGGAGAGCAATTCACTTGGGGCCATCCTGGCTTTAATGGCAGCTGTGCTGACAGAGTGTGACCTCCACTGTCACAGCCAGGCCCTTGGGGCCATGGCTAAACGACTGGGTAAGTAGTACACCTTTATATCCCCAATCTCTGCAACACACAAACATGCACACACATAAATGCCAGTGCAGTCGCTCCCCCACACATAGTAAACAGAACCTCAATGAGACCTGCTAGGCGTCGGTCATAGGTGAGTACATAGGAATTTAACCGCACTAAGAAGCATGCCAAGAACTCTGTATACATGCACACACAGATGCACGGACACATGCGGTACAGCTCACAAAGCGAAAAAGCCTTGAGAGCGCTATCATGCATCCTCTCTGTGAGGTATACAGGGGAGCGTCTATTTTCAGCCCCTGACGACAGCGTGACTGGCCTCACTGATAACCTAATCTATCTCTTGGTTGGCAGAGAGCGCAGCGGTGGGGAGAGAGGGGGAGAAAGACTTGCTGCTTTTCCTCAAGAGCATCACTCAACATCCACCCACAGGTGAGGGCATTACAGGTAGCCACGTGAATTGTTGTTCATTTCTAAGCAGAAAATGCACTGTGTGTGCCCTAGTTGCCCCCTTGGAGAGGCTACATCCTCGGGACTGTGCAGAGATTTACACGCTGGGGATCAAAGAGAATGGAATCTACACCATCCAGCCTGACCTGAATGGGCCGGCACTAGAGGTATTTCAGATTCACCGCACTCATAAATGAGACAGACATATCGCCCGCACCCCAAGCCCACACCACCCTGGTCAGCTTCTTTTGGAGATGTGCATGCTATCTGTGGATCAGTAAAATCTGGGACTTATAATATTACAATCTCTGTATTGGTTTAGGCTAAATGTGACATGGAGACTGCGGGTGGCGGGTGGACAGTCATCCAGAATCGGCAAGATGGCTCAGTGGACTTCAACAGAACATGGCAGGAATACCGGGAGGGCTTTGGAAATCTGCAAGGAGAACACTGGCTGGGTAATGCAGCGTTGCATGCCCTTACCTCCAGTGGCCAACACCAACTCCGCATTGAGCTGGAGGACTGGCACCAGCAGAGGCGCCAAGCCACCTACAGCAACTTCAAAGTGGCCTCGGAGGCACAGAGGTGAAGCACTCTGCACACAGATATATTTTCTGCGCTAAGGGATTAAAGTTACCTGTGGATTAGACCAAAGGTCAGAAAAAGAGAGACTTGAGTCTGGAAGTCAGCTACAACAAAAATATATTTATTTTATCTTCAGTCACAATCTTATTTGCTTTCATGTATTAACAACAGCCATGAAAACTTGTTTTCCCAATCACTTTTTTCTTAAGTATGAACTGCATGTTTACATGAACAGACAAGGTTCTGAATATTTCAAATGGGCTATTTCTGCTTTGGTTTGAAGGAAATAGGATTGAGTGACCAGTCAAAATGTGATTAATGTCCTGAGAGATGTGTGTTGTTTTTGTATGGCTGCCAATCAGTTTTGATCAAACTACATCCTGAAGCAGATCAGCAGAGTTAATAAATTAAAAGTTAATAAAGTTTTTAACATTACCTTTCAAACTTTAGCAAAGGCAAATAATGTCTTTATGTAATTCAAATAACCATCTTTAACTTACTTTAAACTGCAGCTTTTGAAGTTTTCACTATTACCTATACTCAGTTATTTGCATTCTAGTTTTCCACATATACGATAGTCTACATAACACTATACGAGTTAGGAGACTTGTATATCCAGGACTCTTTCCATTATCACCCATTCACTGTCTTGGTGTGGCTGTAGCTCAGGATGTAGAGCAGGTCATTTACTAATTGGAAGGTTGGTGGTTTGTGAAGGTTGCTAGAAGTGTGAATATTTGCTAGAAGGCACTTCAACAGCCAAAAGTGCTTGTATCAATGGGTGAATGAGACGTGTTATATAAAATGCTTTGATTGCTCAAGTAAAGTAGAAAAGTACTGTATAAGAATCAATCCATTTGCCACCTTGCCAGGAGTGTAAAATTAATATAAAACATAATTTTACTTGGCTTTTAACAAACAACACACACATAAAAACAAAACAAAAAACCCTCAAATGTTGTTTCTCTATCTTCCAGGTATCGCCTGACAACACGGGAGTATTCTGGTGATGCAGGTAATGCACTGAGCTACAGTAAGCGCTACAACCACGATGGCAGGTCCTTCAGCACTGCTGACAGAGACTATGACCGTTACGCGTCGGGAAGTTGTGGTCAGTACTATGGTGCAGGCTGGTGGTTTGATGCTTGTCTGGCAGCTAATCTGAATGGACGGTACTACCGTGGGCGCTACAGCGGGGTGACCAACGGCATCTACTGGGGAACGTGGTACATCCTGACAGATGGACGAACTGGAGAGCGCTACTCCTTCAAGTGGGTGGAGATGAAGACAAGACCCAAAAACTTTATGGGAACAGACTAAAGATAATGATGACAACATAATGGGGAAAATTTGCTGTGCAGTAGACTACAGTAATAATCACACCAGACACTTTCTTTCTTCTTTTATAATCGATAGATGCTTTGGTCACAATATTTAGCATAGCTTTCCTGTCACTTATCAGTTATATGCAGATGGCAGCTAAAAGATTAAAAAAATAAGTGTAAAAGAAATAAGGTTTAAATGCTCATTAGCAGACTGTGAAGCTCTACTTTTTTTATGATGGGCTCACTCTGGCAAAAAATACATGTTACTTCATAACAGTGAAACAGTTAAATACATATTGAAAATATTGCAGAGGTTGCTGTGATAAATTTCCAGAATCTTTATTGCACATCAACAACCTGCAAAAGGCTACCTTAATGTGTCACAGGATTCCAGGGGAGGCATGTTTTCTCCGTGTCAACGGTTTAAGGACAAGACAAACAACCCAAACCACACATGAAAGTCATCCTTCACATGCATGAGTTAAAACTGGTAATTTGCTTGTGTTCCTACCTGTCTATGCTCTGTGACCTACAGAAATACAAGCTGCCTGCAGCAGCTCACAGACATTGTAGGTCAGATGAAGTCATGGGAGACCGTTTACTAAAAGGCAAGAGGTCATTGTGTCCCTGCAGAGAGCTCAGCTGTTATCTACACAACTCCTAAAACTAAAACTTCATCACACTGTGATTCATGTGACAGGGTGTCTAACCACAGTCCCCTACTGTATGTTCTGCCTTCAGCTGCTTTAATAGAAAGCCAAATAGCCAAAGCTCACAGTCTGATACTAAACCAAGAGTAGCCCAGTTTTAGACAGACCATCTCACCTGACTAATACTTTCCCAGGTACAGGTCTAACACACTGACGCTAACTCTCAGGATCTTCTTTTTTTCTTTTCTGTTGGAAAACCGTCCTCCACCCACCTCTATTAAATCAAACACAAACATACAGAAACCTCGCCCTCCCCTGGTCTCTAGAGTTGGTGTCAGCGGGGGTGATTCATCCACAGATGTGTTTCACGAAGACGTTTTGGGAGTAGGTATGTGAGTCAGTGGGTGTGTGTCTCACAGTCTTTGTAAAATGCTGCTCCTATTTTAGCATTGTTTGCAGTGAGCTGTCAGTCTCTGCAACAAGCAGGCTGTCTAATGTGATCGTATGACAGCGCTCTCATCTAAACACACAGACACACTGCTGTCAGACCTCCTACCTGCCGAAGTATTTCACATACACTACTTATCTACACACAAGGAGATGTCTGTTTTATGCACACACACACACACACGCACACATACACACGCACACGCGCGCACGCACACACACACACACACACACACACATACACACATGGGAGTCAGTGGTTCTCTCAGCAGATAAGGAGGTGCATGATGTGCTTGGCTTCTTAAAGACAAATGGATCCCATTGTACACATCATGGGAAGGTAATCACTGTTACACAACCACAAGCTCCTTTTCACCTGTTTCACACATAATATTGCACACACACACACACACACACACAGGCTATCAATAAGCAATTATGATCAATCACCCATAAAACCTATTATACATATCAGCTTTCTAGTTTAATTTTCTCTGTGTGTCTTCGTGTGTGCTGGAAACAAGGCAAAGTTAAAAGCTAGATGGCTCCGTGTTCTGCCCCCTGGTGGCTCCTGGTTGTATTGTAGAGACTGAGAAAAGCTTTGTCTCAGCTGAAGATGAAATGTGAAGTCAACACAAAAGAAATTAAAACCAGGATAAAATTCTGTCAGTCTAAATTATTTTTTTTTTTTATCTTTAAGAGATTCTGCCTGTATAGAGATGAACGTCTAAAATCAAGCTCAGTATCTCAATCAATTTTCACTCTGTCATCAATAAATGGAGCAAAAACCTTTTCCTACCACTTTTTGTTCATCATCACTCTCTATTTTTGCTTTCTATCACTTAATAGGAGTTTGACTGATGTTGTTCAGACCTTCTCAAATTTCCTCCTTTTTGACTCTTCATGCTCCGAGCTGCAACTGCTTTCAATAAATTCAATCACTCCTCCTGATCTCTTCTTCTCTCCTCCTTTCTGCATCCATCAGTCTTGTTGACAAGGGAGGAACAGACACCCAGGGTTGTGTCACCACAGTATCCTGGCACAGTGTCTGGAGTGGGGTGATAGTGGTGGTGCGGAGGGGTGCGGAGGGGTATCAGCAGGCTCTGCTGCCCCAGGGCCGGAAGCCCAGACTGGGCAGCGGTTAGCCAGCACATCCCTTTGAGAAACACTGTGCTCCTCTGAGGGAAGTTCAGATATGTGTCATTTATTTCTGAGTGACACAAGAAAATATCAGATTTAAAACAGAACTCATGTTAGTAGTAGTGTGTTCATCTTTCTGCAGGAGGCTCTTTTTTTTTTTTTTTTTTTTTTGTTTTTGTGGTGCTTATAAAATATGTTTTTATAATCTTTCACATGATGTAAAAAATTTAGAACAGCCCATCTGGTTACAAAAACTTAAAAATATAATATGATCTCAAATGCCCTATGATAGACTCTTAACCTATCTTGGGTAAGTCCTGCATCTCACCTTGTGAAAGCTGGGACCTGCTCAAGCCCCATTGTGACCCTGAAATGGATAAGCTCTTATAATATGGATAGGTGGCCAATAATCACTGCAAATGGGAAAAAAAAGTTTCCCAATCAAATAATCTGTTTATCCAGGTGATATCCATCAGTCCACCAAACATTAATAATAATCAGTCTCACTTTCTCTTTATATCATATTGAAATGCAGAGTAAGACTTCACAAAACACTTCAATATTTCACCCTGGAAACATTTTATGTTTTTCCTCAGATTTGGCTCCAAAATGAATATAATCTCTCTTCACACTCAAAGGATTTTTTAAGAACATGGATGAAGGCAGAGACAGTTTTAAATTTGGGCTGCCCCTTTTTTGACTGCTGGAAATGACTGAAGTTGTAGGAATGTGATATTCCCATTCATGTGTTTAACAGCAGGTGGCAATGTTGCTTAGAGCAAATCTGGAAAACAACTTTCACATAAGAAACTGCACAGTAGTCTATAGCAAACAAGGCAAACAAAGTGTCTATAGAAATGAGAGAACAATAGCAAGTGTCAGAAAATAAACAGCCGGAGACAATAACTGTGCTTAACCTACAGCCTGTTTATGTGAAGAGCGATGAGTAAAAACAATAGCTGAGGTCTTATTTTTGAAGCCATATATGTTAATGTGAATTATTTCAGGGGTTTTGATAAGTTTTGTTCAACTCATAAGGTTTCAGAGAACTGCTGAAAGCACAAGAGCCCTGACTTGACTGTAAGCTTCAGGTTGCCGTGCCTCTTTTCAACACTGGGGGCGCCATAATTGGTACTGGAGGTCAAAGGACAAAATCTGCTCATAGTGATGTAAGTTTTTGAAATTAAGACTTTACAAAATTACAAAACAGGTGTGTTAATACAGACTGTGGTGTAAATGAGCCTCGGGCTCAGCAGCACTGCATAGCAGAAAAGAATCTGGTGAGGTGACAGCATGAAGGAGGCGGGAGGATGAACTTAGTGGCCTGCAGTGGAAGGGACTTTTCATACTTTAATCTGCTCTCATTGCGATAAGGGCATGCATGGCGGCTGTCAAGTGCAAGGAAAGTAGGAGGAAGGCTTGAGGGTGGGGAGGAAGCAGGAGCGGGTGAGGTTTGAAAGGTGTGTGAGTATAACAGGCCGTTAGAGGCTTGTTTCCCTGACCACAGGACCACTGAGAGACAGCATGTGCCTGCTTTTAATACTGGTCCTGCAAAAAACCAGAGAAAGGCAGCGTTCCGTTTGAAACCGGAATTCACCAGAACAAGTGTATCCTGATGTGGTGAGGAGCTGAGGTGAGGAGGGGAGAGGAGGGAGGGAGGGCTCAGAGGGCGCCAAGTGGCAGGCCTCGCTCCATCTTTATGCATGAATGTGCGCATGAAAGTGGAGGTGGAGAGGGTTTGCAGGCAGGGAGCGGAGGCACTGCTGGGGTTTTTTCTAACACAAAAAACAACAACTTTTAATTAACTAAATATTTATGTGATTAACATTCAGCATGTTTAAAATCTTTTGGAGACTAAAATTATTGCAGTGCTTGCTGGTACAGCACTTTTTTTAAATCAAAAAGTTGAATACTTGTAAATAAAGTCAATAAGTTTTACATCAAAATTAGTCATTCATGACATTTAAATTTTATGTAATCAGTTATAATAGTTTTGATAAAACAGTGTTTGATGAACTTCTGGTATAATAAGAAAGCTTCACTTGATACTTTAAAGCAGCAACTTTAACATTAGATTAAAGTTGACCACTTGCGTATTAAATGTGCTGCTCATAGTAATGAATCTTCAGTGTTTTTAACACAGAAGGAAGCTGGTTCACTGATTCACTCACATGTGTATGAATATACATGCTCACAAGCACTTTATTAGAAACACAGCATTAATGCTATCATTAATGCTGTGTAGGTGCTTCATTTGCTCATCTTTAGCTGCCATCTTGCAAATGTGTCTGCTGCACAGCTATGATACAAATCTCCTCATTCTAACATCTCCCAAAGGCATCTTACTGGTTTCACATCTGCTGAGTGGCCAGGCCTTTGCCCGCTGCCCTGTATAGCCTCAGTCTCTTTTAGCGAGTACAGGACAGGAACATGGCGCGCTCTCAGTGTCGTGAATTATTGCTCCAAAGCGCTTTACTTCCATCAGCATTTATGTCTCATGCAATTTCATAATAATCCACCTCTGATGTGAGGGAAAGACGGAGAAAATAACAGGAGAGGGGGTGAAACGATTGAGAGTGCTGATCAGGCAGACTCCAAATCAAAGGATTATCTAATCTGATAATACCTGCTGACAACAAAATTCATGCGGGCGACCTCCAGGGGGTCAGAAGCAGCTCATCATAATATACCAGGAAGACCTTTCACAATTAATAATCCAATAAATCCTTTAAATATGCACACTGTGCTTGTCAAATTA